TATACACATACTTACCATGCACAAAAGAATGCTTGTGTAAAAAATAAAAAAACTAATTTTTCAAAAAAGAAGAATATAAACAAAACCTTCTGAGTGGTTCTTGGGAATAATTTTATTTATTATTATTATTATGTTTTATTAATAACTTACTAGAACTTCAGTTGACTTCACAAACTGAAAAAAGTACAGCTTGAGAAATCAATGTTCTGTCAAAAAAATGTAGTGTGTTCTCCCCAAAATAAATCACTTCATTATTCTTATAAATCGTTTTTGCCAACTTATAATTGTCTATTTTTGGCCCAAACACATACACGAAATTGAGAAAATTGGTACTGAATATTAATATCACTAATAAATTAATGTTTCAAGAGATACATTTAATATTATATATTGTCTTTACTAACTAACATAGCTACAAATTTATGCCTACAGGATTAAATAATCATGAGTTTACTAGGTAGTTATACAATTCAATTAGTTTTGATACTGATACAAAGTTGTTTGAAATGAAAAAAAATTCATTTCCTTTTTAACCATTCTCCACAATAAGATAGCCCACTCGTGCTAAGATAGCCCACTCGTGTTAAGATAGCCCACTCGTGCTCAGATAGCCCACTCGTGCTAAGATAGCCAACTCATGCTAAGATAGCCAACTCGTGCTAAGATATCCCACTCGTGCTAAGATAGCCCACTCGTGCTCAAGAGAGAGAGAGTTATCTTCTACTCTCATAACACGTGTGAAAGAATAGTTTCACTCATAAATGTTTTTGTTCCAACTTCAAAAGACCTAGATGTTTGAAGAAGCAATATTAATTTAAACAATGAATCTTTGATAGGTTTATTAATGTGATCATGTCACAATATTTGGCTTCGTAACATTTTCCAGAAGGTTGCGCTTCCAACAGAAAAATCATCATTTTCTTACACCCAATATCCGTTTAAATGTACCACTTATGTTTGTAGTTAAGCACAGTGAGCTACCTGCGCTCTGCCCACCACGGGTATCGAAACCTGGTTTTGAGCGATGTAAATCTGCAGACATACTGCTGTCCCACTGGGGGTACTTCTTTTGAGTATTGTGGAGAATGAGATTTACTTCATCCATTATAACTCGGAGAAACTAAGTTAAGAAATAAGCTGATCTGACAAGGTTCTAGCTTGATCCTTGACATCAAGCTTTATTTCATTTTAAGACTGTGATATTTAGGTGGATTAAAAACACATCAATATAATTGTACTGATCACCATTTTCAATAAATCTCCTTACCTTATCATGCAATATAACAGCATTTTGTAGCTGACCATGACGATTCTCCCCTTCTCGAAGATACTGAAATAAAGAGATTACAAAACTAACTCTTCACTGATCTCGATGGATTTTTTATTAAGATTTAAACTAAAATAGGTAGGGTGTGTTATAATGAATACACTTTTGACTTTTATTATTATATTTATTTTCAATTTTTAATAATATGATGCGTGTTTTTTAACAAAAGGTCGATAATTGTATATAGCAAAGTTTTGTCCTACAATTTTATTACAGACGTATCGGTCTTGTGAACCAATTAGAAAAGTTCATTAGATATATCAGTAGTTAGCTAAAAACAATGGCAAATTGACAACAATATGCTTACAAAGAAAATACATCATTTTAAAGCCACTGAAACGTTCAGTCTCACTAGATATAGTTTCGACTTTCTTAGGGTTTCTAAAATTTGCCTCGGGTGTTAGCATAAAAAATGAAATTGTTAATTTAACTGTGAACAATATGCAATATTTGCCTTAACCCCAAAACAATTTTTTATGAATATAACTTACGGTTTCACAGCTTTTCTTTTTAAACATTTAATTATGAAATCTAGGAAAAACAATAATTAATTAATTCCGTTAAACAGCAATAATTCTTTCAGCTCAAAAAAAAGTTTTGAATAATTCACAAATGAAGTTAGAAAACTGAGCTTACCTTTTTCCTTTCATCCTTTATCTCTTTTATCAGGTTGTGGACTTCTTTTACAATATCTGTCATAAAATTTTCTGCCATGACTTCATGTTGACCGGCAATATCGTTAACTTCGTTCAGCACGTTGATGAATGCTTTGTTAGAGGAATACCTAAGAAATAAATAAAAATGCTCTTATACTATTTTGTTTGTTTGTAGTTAAGCACAGAGCTACACAAGCCCACTACGGGTATCAAAATCTGATTTCTAGAGTTATAAATTTGAAGACTTACCATTGAGCAACTGCGAGGAGAAAGACACTACTTTTTTTATTTGAAATATACATGAAATACTTGTTGTTGTGAGATACTTTTTAATATGTGCTGTACACACTGTAAAATGATCTAATACAGCAAAACAGGCATGTATCGATTTACAAATTGTTACGTGACAGAATACTGCCAGAGATGTATAAAATGAAACATTTTTATAGTTACAAGAATCAAATATTCGACTATTTTATTTTAAAATAAAGTTTGTTAAATATTATTATTTTTTACTTATTTCAGTAACAATTAGTCTCGGACTGTTTACAAGACTAATATGGGATTTTTTTATCCTCATATTAGGAAAAAATTATGGTTTTTTGTTATTGGGAACAGGGTCGATATTCAGCTCCCATACTGGTACCAGAAAAAAGCTCTGATAATATTATTTCAACAAGAAAAATTCAATACAAATCTGCAAGTACGTACTCAGTTCACGAGTTTTATAACGATTCACTTACAAATTAAAACATAACAAAAACAAATATCAGTCCCAGTTTAACTATAAAAAAATATCTATATCTCAAAACTAGATAAATTATATCAGCTTTTTATCACTGTATGAACTATTTACAAAATTCAAAGTTACTTCACATCAAGATAGAGGTATCTTTTAATGAATGTCACAACCAGAGTTGGAATACTTTACGACTACTCGATCTAAAATGGGTCATTAAACTAAAAATTTTGACATGATGATTAGCATTAATTAATCTACAAAAATGTGTAAAAATGATGAATAATTTGCAGTATAAATCATGACTAATGTGTAAAAATGATGAATAATTTGCATTATAAATCATGACTAATGTGTAAAAATGATGAATAATTTGCAGTATAAATCATAACTAATGTGTAAAAATGATGAATAATTTGCAGTATAAATCATGACTAATGTGTAAAAATGATGAATAATTTGCAGTATAAATCATGACTAATGTGTAAAAATGATGAATAATTTGCAGTATGAATCATAACTAATGTGTAAAAATGATGAATAATTTGCAGTATAAATCATAACTAATGTGTAAAAATGATGAATAATTTGAGAAATATATAACACACCTGATCCGAACAGTATAAGTACACTGTAGCCTCAAATTAACATTAGCTACATTAAAGTAGACTTTATAATGTTGATCTTGTTTTATACCTTACATTTAACAAAAGTCTGCTTTAGTAGGTTTAACTAATGAAGGCTGTTTTACCAACTAATGAAAGTGTACCAAAATGTTCTTTCTCAGATAATCCTTTCAAGTCTAAATATCTGCTAAAAGGAAGCAAGTGTGGGAAAAAAAAATTATTTGAAATTTTTTATATTCTTTCTCTAGAAGGCTCGTGAAAAGTTATCAACCCAGAAAGAAAGATGATGATGAAAACCAGTAAGTTCTCCCAAAATGATTAATTTTCTGCAAATTATTCATCATTTTTACACATTAGTCATGATAAATAGTTTTAAAATATTAATATTCCACATATCTAATTACAATCTTTTAACACGAAGCTACACCAGAGGCTACCTGTCCACCAGAAGCTACCTATCCATCATGGGGGAATCAGTTTCACTAATAACTGAATAATACCAACACCAGAATTAACAACACAACACAGGTTTCAGGACTTACCACCATAGTAAGTGATAGATAATTAACAACACAACACGGGTTTCAAGACTTACCACCATAGTAGGTGATAGATAATTAACAACACAACACGGGTTTCAAGACTTACCACCATAGTAGGTGATAGATAATTAACAACACAACACAGGTTTCAAGACTTACCACCATAGTAGGTGATAGATAATTAACAACACAACACGGGTTTCAAGACTTACCACCGTAGTAGGTGATATATAATTAACAACACAACACGGGTTTCAGGACTTACCACCATAGTAGGTGATAGATAATTAACAACACAACACGGGTTTCAGGACTTACCACCATAGTAGGTG